ATAAGAACCTACACCTAAGTGCTTTTGTGTCCTGGGCTGTCTCAGTTAGCCTGAGCCTTGTATCACCTTCCACTGTGGCCAAGTACTCCGGAGCCAGGCTGCCCGAGTACTAGCCTGTGACATTGGGTAATTTATGTGCTCTCTGAGCCTCAGTTTGCTCATCTCTGAAATGGGGATAATAATAGTTCTAGTCTCTCACAGGATTAAATGAGTAGATGGTCAAGTTCTTAGTACACAGCCTGACAGGTAACATGTGCTCAGCTGCTACCTGTTATTCCCTATACTGTGAGTTTTCTCCACATATCCCCCTGCTGCCCCTGGTGGGGAAGCAGACAGACTCTTAAAAGGAGACCTCCCTTTGGAGACCCCAGAGAGACCTTCAAACAAACGTGCCCCTGATGCACCGGCCTGGAAGTTAAGTAAGAAGGGGATGTTGGTTCAGCTGCCGGGCACACACCTCCTCTGAGTCACCTACCTACCTATGTCCCTAGCAGTGGGCATCCTGGCAGGGGGGCTTTCGTTGGCCACTGCCTTGTGGGAGCAGATGTTCTGGGTGTGGAGCTGGGCTCTCAAACAGCTGGGCTGCTGCACCCCACGCCCCCTTCCACTGCCCCCTTCCTAGCTCCTTCCCAGGTATCCCTCCTTGCAAAGAGGTTTCCAGTTGTCCAGGTAGCCAAGATCTATTCCATCTTTCCTGTTGGTCTCTAGAGAAGCAAGACCGCCCCTTGCTCTTTCCAAAGGCTGTTTCTTCCTCCTTTGGTAAACTCTGAAAATTGTCCCTGTGTCATCTTTCCCTCAGACATGCTCTTGGTGTCCTAGCAGCTCTCCGCACAGAGGCAGCAGCTACTGGGGGGCCCTCCTTCTGTGCCCTTCAAGGCTGCATCTCCTTTTTCTTTATATTCCAAGTAAGGTTCAGCATGATGGCCCTCACTGTCCCACCATAGAAGGTTCCCATATGGACCCTGAGGGCACCATGCTAAGTGAAATGAGGCAGACAGAAAAAGACAAATACTGTATAATGTCACTCGTAATTGGCATCTAAAAAAAGCTGACCTCATAGAAACAGAGCACAGAGTCGTGTTACGAGGCAGTGGGGGGCGGGGGAAATGAGGAGATTGTTGGTCAGAGGGCACAAGCTTCCAGCCATAAAATGCCTTAGTCTGGGGATCTACAGGTACAGCCTGGTGACTATAGTTAACAATATTGTGTTGTATACTTAAAAGTTGCTAAGAGAGTAAATGTTGAATGTTCTTACCAGCACCACCACAAAATGGTAACCCTTATGAGGTGAGGGATATGTTAACCAACCTTATTATTTTGCAACATATGCACGTTATCAAATCCTCACATTGTACATCTTACACTCACACAATGTTGTATGCCAACTATATCTTACCAATACCTGGAAAAAAGATTTGTGTCCTTTTTTAAAAGAAAAATGGCCTTTTTGGAGTATAATTCACATACCATCCAATTCACCCACTTAAGATACACAGTTCAGTGGCTTTGAATATATTTTAGAATATTTTCACTAACCCCCTGTAAATCCTCACTTTTTAGCAGTCATCCCTCAGTTCCTCCATCCCATCCCCAAACCCTAGGAAATGACTAATCTACTTTCTTTCTCTATAGTTTTGTCTATTCTGGATGTTTATGTAAATAGAACCAATCGCACAACATGTGGCCTTTGTGTCTGGTGTTTTCCGCTTAGCATCATGCACTCAGCTGCACCTACACTGTGGCACATGTTGGTACTTCACTCCTGTTTATGACTGCATAATATTCCATTGTGTGAATAGACATTTTGCTTATCCATGTGTCAGTGGGTAGTCATAAGAATGTTCCTTGTTTTCTTTTTAATGTGTTGAGATCCAGCTCTCTGAGATTTCAATCCCCTTTTTTTTGAGGAGGAAAGGCATTTTTATTACAACCCCAAAGTTACTTCTTGGTTTGCTTGAAGGCAAATCCATGCTCTGACATTATGTTCTAAATACCCATAATGGCTGGGTCTTTAAAAAAAAAAAAAAATCTACAAGACCTTCCAGAAGAAATGATTCAGGCCATAGAGTTGCTCATTTCTTTCCTTCTGTTACTATTTAGGCTCCAATAATTCACTCAGTTGGGATGAGTGTTTAAAACTGGCTGAGGATAAAAGAAAGATTTACCCTGGGGAGAGAAATATTAGGAGCTAAAGAACCAAAAATACCTCAGACTTTGAGCAGAGGAACACACCAGGCAAGCATGCTTTCTTTTACTGGGGACCAATTCTGGGTCTGTTGCCCCAGGGACACCTTGATTCAGCCCTTTCCTGTTGGGAGGTGGTTTCTCCCAGGCAGGCTGTCTACCCAGGCCTGGTACAGCCTTGCAGAGATACTGCCCATTAGGCCCAGGTGGAACTTTCAAGTTTTCCACATTTCTCTTTTATAAGTGGTTTCAACTTTGCTTGTGTTGAGTGTGTGAGTGAGGTTGGGTGGAGTAAATGGGGACCCTGTGGATTAAATTACAGGCCTGAGCGCCAGGATGCTGGGAACTGGAACTGTTCAGCTTTGACTCCAATGTGCTTGGGGTCTCCTGTGTGCTGGTGCTGAGGGAGGTTTTGCCGGGATTTGCGTTATTGGGATTTCCGGTACTGAATGGGGACCTTGTGCGTCCCTTCCTTAGATGCCTGCCCCAAGGAATTCCTGCTCAAAAATCTCAATGGGATGGTAAATATACCCCTGCGTCCTGACCAATAAATTCACTTCTGGCACTTGATGTTCCATTTAAGGAAGAAAAAGGCAAATCAGTAACAAGAGGGAAGGCAAAAACATAATACATTTATAAGCCAAACTATGATCACAAAAGGAACACAAAATTTAATTACGTTTCATCTTTATTGTATACTTGAATGTTGCTAAGAGAGTAGACCTTAAAAGTCCTTATCAAGTGGGGACATCTGCCATTGACACAGTTCTAAACCCAGTGAAGACCTAAATGCATAGTTGCTAACTGCAGGATGCCTTCTGGTCAAAAGAGAGAGTCAACCAATGTCTCCTCAATGGAGCTAGCTTGAACTGAAGGTATGAAAATTTGCCTATCACAATGAACAGCAACAGACCTATTTTGCTTTAGGTTTTAATCAAACAAGTAATACATGAGTGCATTCGTCTTTGAAAACATGGATTGTTACAGATTTAGCAAAAGTCCCCTTGAGTATCATCTCCCATGCTGGACTTTTCCCGCTCCCTAAAGAAAACCACTGCTTTGAGTTGGGTACATAAGCTTCCAGTTTCTTTTATGCCTTCATATGCAAATATGTGTGCTAATAAAAAATGAAGAGAATTAAGGTGAGTGGTCAGGACAGTATTCTTTTTGTTTATTTAAAAGTTACACAGTTGTTTTTTTAAACCTATAGCATTGTTCCATAAGTATGCTTCTACATATGTTGTACTTACTACATTGTAATAACACTCTGAATGTCCTTCACTTAGCAGTATATTTTTCATATCTAAAATAAAATGGAAGCCCTCATCACAAGGAAAAAATTTTTAACTGTGTGGTGATGAATGTTAACTAAATTTACTGTGATGATAATTTTGCAATATAGCTGAATATCGAATCATTACATTGTACACCTGAAACTAATATAATGTTCTATGCCAGTTATATCTCAGTTATAAAAAATTTCATCAAAGGGTGTTCTTTGATTCTCTCCCTCCAGATCTGTGTGGAAATATGAAATAGCTTAAGCTTTAGAATGAGTAGATCTTGGGGTGGTAGCTCTTGGGCAGATTACTCCCTATCTCTGAGTGTACGCCATCAGGTTGATGCCTTCTCCTCTGCCAGAGGGCTAGTGTGAAAGCAGAGAAGATAGCTTGTGTGCAACACCCTCTACAGAGTAGGTGCCCAATAATAGCTACTTCTAAAGCACTTCTGCCCCAAATGATTTTTTTTTTACCCTCATTCACACCCCAGTTTTTGGAGGAACGGTTTGTAAGGACACATTTTGAGGAAATACCCTTTTCCCACAGGATGGCGCTGCTAGCTCTTTATGCTCCAGGGAGACCATCTGTATCTCCCTTGAGCACCTCCAACCCTGCAGGTGTTTTGATAGATAATCTGCTTATGTTCTGATGTAACAAGCCTCAAGAACAGTATGGTCTTTAATATGAAGTCTGTTCTCCCAGAGGGGTACGAAGAATTTTGCATTGATTGTTGGTTTTCATTTACATCCTCATGTTTGAGGACTGGGGTCATATACTGAAGAGCCAGAAGTAGATACTAGCAACTTAAAATACTGAAGAAGTGCCATAAATGTCCAATTGTTTTTCCTCCAGTGGCTTTCTTGGCAGAAAATTAAAGAGGAAAAAACGGTTACATGATTTGAGAAAACATTGTGGTGCTTGGTTATAACAACTTACATTTCTATAGTGCTTTCCATTATATTACGTTACAGAATGCTTTCCCATTGTTATTTCATTGAATTCTCACAAGTCCCAGAGGTAGGTGAGACAATATATGTTACGGTTAAGGAAATGCAGCCTGTACCCCTTACTTACCATGTGGCCATGTGGGTTATTTAAGCGTTCTAAGCTGATTTTTCCTAAGTTTTAAAAGTGAGAGTTGACTAATACCTTCCTCTTAGGATTGCTGTTCCGATTATCTGAGATAATATATGAATAGTGCCAGATATATGTATATATTTATCCCTATATGGCAAATGTTTAGTAAGCAGCAATGGTTATTATATCATTGGGTATAATAATCCTCACTTCACAGGTGAGGAAATGAAAAATGACAACTTGTCAAAGATCACACCATTCATAACTGACAGAACTGGAATGCAAATCTAATTCTTCTGCCTTCAACTTTAGTCTTCTTTCCACTACACCTTAGCCAAGATGTATAAATCAGGAGGAATATTTTGGTGCATCTGCCAGCAAAATTCCCCAATGTAATAAACCTCTTACTCAGTTTCTCTGGTGCACTGATCTTTTCAATGTCTCCTTTTGTATTCACAGAACATCATCAAGAAGGTGATTGGGCAGAAGTTTGTGTACAAGTTTGTCTCTTTCCCGGAGATACTGAAAATGGACCCTCATGCCGTGGAGATCAGCCGGGAGAGCCTTTTGCTGCAGGACAGCGACTGCAAGGCACCTCCCGAGGGCCGAGAGGCACACAGACACAGCTTGTCAGCCCTCAAAAGCACGAGCCGCAATGAATACATCCACTCAGGCCTGTACTCATCCTTCACCATTAATTCCCTGCAGAACCCACCAGAATCCTTCAAGACAATCAAGACAGAGAGGCTGGAGGAGCAGCCGGAAGACAGCCCTCCCGTGGAAGAAGTCAGGACTGTCATCAGGTTTGTGACCAATAAAACCGACAAGCACATCAGCAGGCCCGTGGTGTCCCTGCCTTCCACGTCTGAGGCCTTCCTGACCTCGTCTGTCTCAGCCAAGATCTCCTCTTTAATGTTGCCAAACGCCGCCAGCATTTCATCTGCGTCACCCTCCTCATCTCGGTCCCCGTCCCTGTCCCCCAACTCGCCCCTCCATTCCGAACACAGAAGCCTCTTCCTGGAGGCTGCCTGCCATGACTCGGATTCCCTAGAGCCCTTGAACCTGTCATCAGGCTCCAAGACCAGGTCTCCGTCTCTTCCCCCAAAGGCCAAAAAACCCAAAGGCTTGGAAATCTCTGCGCCCCCGCTGGTGCTCTCTGGCTCCGACATCGGCTCCATTGCCCTCAACAGCCCAGCTCTTCCCTCGGGATCCCTCACCCCAGCCTTCTTCACTGCGCAGGTAAGAGCTGTCCCTGTCGTCCTGGCTGCACCCAGACTCTGTGGCTTGGCAGAAAGGAGGGAAGAGCAATCAAAGCTACTTCCTTCTGCCCTTCAAAAGATAACCCCAGGACTTGTGTCCCAAAGTCACTGAGTGACTGTGAAGGGAAATTACTTAAAACATCTCCAGATCATGGTGTCCTCGAGAGAAAGGGCCTGGGATACACCGGGCCTTTGACTGGTTTCTTGCTTTTAGCAGCCTACAGTGATCGTTAGATGGAGCGTGCACACTCGTCGAAGCAGATCCAGTGATTTCCTAGGGAAAGCTGAACAGGCTGAGTGACGGGACAGAAGCTGTTTGGGCTCTGTGACATTTTTATGGCAGAGTTCTCTCTGGGGGGCACTTGATAAGTAGCCATTTGTTTTCTGTTAATTAGAAAATGGGTGGTAACTGATTTTGCCATAGCAATTGGTGTGTTGTTGTCCTGTGGCCTGTACTGAGTATTGTTAAGGGCCACCCCACATTGAGAGAGAGATTCTGCAGTAAAAGCAGTGCCACTCTGGCCCATATTACGGGAGAGGGGAGAGCACACTGAAAATGGAGCAAGAAAGCCCTCAGTGTTTTGAACTCCAACAAGAAGGTGGCCTTTTCCTTTAAATAGTTTTCAGATGCTTTTTCTTGTCCGGGGCAATTGCAGGGCAAACACAAAGCAGGTGCCGATAAACCCTATTTCTACTTCTTCTGGGAAGTTGGATGCATTTTGGTGGCAGAGGTTAAGCTCATTGGCTTTGGGGTGGAAAACCTGGATTCCGTTCCTGGCTAGACCACTTGGTTGCAGAGTGACTGCGGGCACTTGCTCTCTGAGCCCGTTGCCACGAGTGAGAGGTAGATCGCAGTGAGGATTTAGTGAGGCGATGGCCGTGGTGGGAGCTAGCCAGAACTAGCAGGTGCTACCATGGAGCTTTGTGGCAGCAGGCTGGGGACACACGTGAGGCGGGTCGGGACTCTCTGTCCCTTGCCTCTGTGCTCATTGCCAGAGATGTCCTTCCTATAACCCCTGTAACAGTGGCATATCAGACATGGGGCTTTTCGTGTATGCCAGGCACTATTCAAAATACTGCACATGCCTCACTTCAGTTGTTTTTCATAGCAGGCCTACAAAGTAGATACTATTATTGTTCCATTTTTCCAGCTGAGGTAAACGAGGCACAAAGGTCAAGTAACTCATACGATCCACACAACTAATAGGTGGTAGAAGTGAATTTGAACCTGGTTAGTCTGCTTCAGAACCCACGAACTCTGGCCCATATTACGGGAGAGGGGAGAGCACACTGAAAATGGAGCAAGAAAGCCCTCAGTGTTTTGAACTCCAACAAGAAGGTGGCCTTTTCCTTTAAATAGTTTTCAGATGCTTTTTCTTGTCCGGGGCAATTGCAGGGCAAACACAAAGCAGGTGCCGATAAACCCTATTTCTACTTCTTCTGGGAAGTTGGATGCATTTTGGTGGCAGAGGTTAAGCTCATTGGCTTTGGGGTGGAAAACCTGGATTCCGTTCCTGGCTAGACCACTTGGTTGCAGAGTGACTGCGGGCACTTGCTCTCTGAGCCCGTTGCCACGAGTGAGAGGTAGATCGCAGTGAGGATTTAGTGAGGCGATGGCCGTGGTGGGAGCTAGCCAGAACTAGCAGGTGCTACCATGGAGCTTTGTGGCAGCAGGCTGGGGACACACGTGAGGCGGGTCGGGACTCTCTGTCCCTTGCCTCTGTGCTCATTGCCAGAGATGTCCTTCCTATAACCCCTGTAACAGTGGCATATCAGACATGGGGCTTTTCGTGTATGCCAGGCACTATTCAAAATACTGCACATGCCTCACTTCAGTTTTTCATAGCAGGCCTACAAAGTAGATACTATTATTGTTCCATTTTTCCAGCTGAGGTAAACGAGGCACAAAGGTCAAGTAACTCATACGATCCACACAACTAATAGGTGGTAGAAGTGAATTTGAACCTGGTTAGTCTGCTTCAGAACCCACGCCTTAAGTGAAATGCTCTCAGCATGACCATTGGGAAGCGCCCACCTGCCCCCGATGACGGCAGCAGGCCATCGAGTCTACAAAGCAACCGGAGGCAGCTCTCGGCCATTCTCCTCTGCCTCCCAAACTGCCTGGGGCCCAGGGATTTCGTGTCAGCTCAAGCTTGTGGGCTGGTGGTGACGAGCATGCCACCCCAGAGGGCTCAGATGCTGGTCGGAATGAGCACATGTGCTCTTAAATTGGGCATTTCCTAACCAAGCAAAACTGTCCAGTGACTAAGCAATGTCGAAGTAAATGGCTCAGAAATAGTGGCTCCTGAAGTAGCTTAGAGAAGTAACTTGAGCAGCAGGGTCAGGGTGGACAATCTGACAATCTCCTCCCCTGGCCTCCTTTGTGTTTACAGCTGTAAGGTTTAGAAAGATCCCAAGCCAGGCCAAGGATAACTCTGATTTCAGTATCTGCTTTCTCTGTGAGCTGGTATCGCCATCACAGAAGAGATGCCAGCCCTGCAGCCATCTCAGAAGAAAGAGGCTCAGGCTTGCCCTGTGGTTTTGGACCTGGACAGAGTGAATTCAGGTGGCTCCACTCAGTGGGCCCGAGGATGGCTGGGCTGAGGGGAGGAAGGACCTTGATGTGAGATAGGCATATAGGGTGGGTGTGAACACAGAGATGCAAAACTTGGACCGGGAGACAGAAACTACTAGAATGGGCTAAAGTCAGGGAGGGGAAAGCATAGGAAAGCCAGGTGCTTTCACAGAAGACCTATGACTTGGGCAAATGAGAGTGAATGGTCCTCAGCCAAGGGTAAGGGCAGGGTCTTGACACAGTGAGCATTAGGGAGTCCAAGGAATGGGACCAGAGCTTCCCGAGCAGACAGAGGCAAAGGGCAGGGTCTTGACCCATGACAGGAGAGTGGAGGTGGGGGCCTGGGCTGGACGAGGAGAGGGTCTCTGTCTGCAGGGCTGTGCTAGGGAGCCCTCTGAATGGGTTCAAAGGAGTGAAGAGCTGCCTTTGGGAGATGGTGGAATCTCAGGACTTGAACTTCTCTCATCTTCTAGCAGTGTCAGCTCTGCACCTGGTGCATGGCCAACAGGGAGGGGGAGGAGGTAGCCAGGGAGAAACCAGACAGAGCAGAGAGAGGGTGGAATTAGGTGGGGGATTTACCAAGGCGGTTTCCTTGAGATAAGACAGCACATCACTCAGTTTTATCTCACTTGACAAGTTTCCAGGGTTCTGGATGTAAGGTAGGTGTGGAATCAGTATAGGATTTGGACTCAAGAGATTTTTCCCCCAGGAGCTGCTTTGGGCGCCCCAGAAACTAACCGTCTAGCCCAGGGTTCTCCCTCCGGGGGACGGTCAGAGGCGGCAGCAGCTACCTCAGCGGCAGCCCTTCCGCTGAGGCCCACAGGCTGCGGCCTGAGGAGGAGCCACATCCCTGGAGCTGCCCCGGGGACGGGAGGGAGACTTTCCCTGTGCCCCCGGGTCAGCTCCGGGCATCTCCTTCCGAGGGGGCTGGGGCCTTTCTCCCCAGGCAGCAGCCACACTTCCCTCCTGAAGCTCTCTGCTTCCTCTTCTACCGTAGCACTGTCACAGAAACCCCATTTCCTCTGCGGGGTGTGCATTTATACATAAACGTTTGGTTACCTGTGGGAACCTCCTATAAACTTACTGGTGGTTGACTTTGGAAGATATGAAAGGAGTAACTTGATACCCTGAAAATATCATTCCCAAGAATTATTTCGTGAACTATGTACTTGTTTATATCTTATTTATTCCAATAATAATTCCCAGTTATTTTCAGCTAGAAACATGGCAGGGAGAGGGCTGAGAGAGTCCTGGCATGTACAAGGTTATGTGGTCACAGTTCCCTCTGGGGACCTTATTAAACATACACTTGCTTAGGCAACATTCAAATTCAGATTTGTAATTGCATCACCAACATAAATCACCATCATTTGACCACTCCAGCCCTCCCATAACCTCCCCCCTCCCATCAGAAATACTTGCCGTGCATCTGCTGGAACCTAGACAAAGTGTAGTTGAGGTTCCTGTTGTTCCTGAGCTTTTAGGAAACCAAGGTTACTAACACAGACGGACATGATGACCATCCAAAGGCCCCTCAAGCATGGGCTGTGAGGAAATGAAAACCGGGAATACGGAAGTCAGCGGGGGGCCTCCAGCTGGAGGGTCTACCAAGGAGTGGTGCAGGGGGAGCTCAGTCACTCACGCCACACTGCACTGCGGCTAGTAAAGTGAGGTGTTCTCGCTGATGGCATGAGCTACAGGAACTGAGACCTGGAAGGAGCCAGGATGTGAACCCTCCCGGTTCCTAGCCAGGTACTGTGGAAACCTGATGCCAGCTGGAACTTGTGATTCGTTCTGCACATTGGTTATCATCTGTCCCTCTTCCTTCTGTTTCCTTTTCCATTCAGCTGCTCCTTCCTCATCTCTTAACGTGAAGTTATTTCAGAATTGGAGGCTGGCACACTGCATTTCCCTCCACGTATGCCAAGCTCTTTGTTAATCTCCCATGTGATGTTTAAGATGCTGAATTCCAATCGGTGCAGGCCCTGGGGCGTGAACTCACCATCACAGTCTGAGCAAGTGTGCCCCAGGCTGTTTCATTAGCAGCAGATCAGGACTAAATTAGTGGACACAGCTTGCTGAGGACTGAAATGCTAAAACCTCCTTCGTTCATTTACTGGTGGATGGTAACAACTTTGAGCCAAAATCATAAGGTGGGAATTTGGGGTAAAATGGATTCATGTGGTGAAGAACATTCAGGGTATATTGCATCCTGTCCCAGCTCTGGGGTGGCTTCTCATCTTTCTGTCTCTTTTGTCATTATTACAAAAGGAGAAAAGTTTGGTTTTTGTCCTTCATCCCACTCAGCAGCACTTCCCCCAGCTCAGCCTGCACTGACCCGGTGGGGGAGAGGTGGTCCTTCTAGAGGCTCTTTGTGGCGTAGGAGCTGTCACTGGTACACTTCTCCATGACTTGGCCCTCCAGCTGAAGGGTCTTGCTCCCCCAGCTCTGGGCTGCCAAGAATAAACGGTCCATTTCCACCCTGCGGCCTGTCTCATCTCGCTCCTTTCCTTTGCCTTTTCTGTTGATCCTACATGGTTCTGCTGCCCTCTCCCCAGCTCTGCCTATATTCCCTTTTTCCCTGCCATTTATCATACCTCCCGTGGACCCTAATTGGAATTCTCCATTTTGTCTCCCTTTCCTTAAGATCAGCACATTCAGTGTTACACAAACTTCTGTGTGATTCAACTGTTTTAAAAATCCATAAAACCAGAATTTAGGCAAGTCTAGAAATTCCCAGAGATTCGTGGTCACCTTTTGAGGATTTGTTTTTAACCCCAAATGGTATTACTGTCTTGGACTCTATTGGCATCCATGGGAGATTAAGATTAGAGATGTTTGTTGGTACAGCAAAATGTTAAATGGACACCTCATTTCTCTCCTTTATTTTCTAAAGCCCAAATGACTTACCATTATCTCAAATCAACAAATCAAGTAATATGCAAATACTTTTCCTTGAGTAGCTCATGCGTACCCTTTTTAGTCATGTAACAAATGGTTACTATTTGTTAATTAACTTAAGAGATAATCATTGAACACCTACTTTTGCTAGACACCTGGGGATTCAGAGGTGAGCTAGATAAAAACAGGCCGTGCTCTCAGGAGCTTACGGCTTAGTGCCCAGTAGGTAAAGAATATGGGGTAATATAATATGGACCTTGAAAACTGGCTGAGGAATTAGACTGATGTGGAAATTAACAGTTGCTGGAGATGTAGGTCAAGAGAAGCAAAAATTTCTATTAGAATCTATCAACAAATAATTATCAAGTACTATTTACAATCATAGAAAGGACATCAGAAGTACAGTGCCTATTTTTATGAGCTAGCCAAGACAACAAGGTGTACACACACATGATAGCACATAGCAGGAGTAAAATACACAGTGCAGAGAAGCACCTTAGGAATGGAAAGGGGAAGTCATTTATTCAACAAACGTGAACTGAGCACCTGTTGTGTAAGCTGTTGTGCTAGGAGCTGGACATACAAACATGAATTAAATAGCTGCTTACAGTTAGAAGCTTGGTTTGGCTAATATACTATCCTAGATCATTACAAAAGAAATACCGAGGAAGAAGGTATTAATTTTGTTGGGGATGGGGAAGGATGTAGACAGGACTTCACGGAAGGGGTGATCACACTTAGTTAGGGTGTTGTTGAAGGATCAGTAGCAATTATCTGGTGGCGAGGAGGGCATTGTAGGCAGAAAAAAGCTTGGTCAGGGTGTATGGATGTAAAATAGCTTAGTGTTTTGGGGACAGTACAGTAGTTCAAAACGGGGGGAGGATAAATTCCAAAGTTAAAGGAAGTGGTGGGAGATGGGTCATAAGTGACACTGTCAGAATTGTGTTTTAGAAATCATCTGATGACATGGATTGGGGAGGGGATGAAGACTGGAACCAGTCAGAGTACTATTATAATATTCCAGGTGAAAGACAGTGAGGATCTAGGGCTGTGATAATGGGATGCACACAAAGGGAACAGATCTGAGATACATAGGCAAGGCCATCAACAGGACTTGGTGACTAACTGGTAGTGAGGTAGTGAAAGCCAGAAGTTGAGTATGAGGAGAGTAAAAGTTAGCTTGTGGGGAAAGGTCCAAGTCCATTTTGGGTTGAGTTGAGTTTCAATAGCCTGTTGGACATTCAGTTAACACCCAGCTGCAACAAGAGCTAAGGAGAGAGTCTGGAGTTGGAGATAGATAGGGAGTCATCAACATGTAAGAGGTGGTCAAAACCATGAAAATAGATGAGATTACTTGTGGAGTGGGTGTAGCACAGGATCTACAGTCGGGGAATGGAATGAGTGCTAAAGATCGGGAAGGTTGGTATTCCATGGTGCTCAGGATACATTAAGCAAAAATTAAAGGGTTCACATAGAAAAATCAGGGAGCGTATGAAACCAAGTTACAGGGGAACCTAGAATTCTGGCTAAGGAGGTTGTACTTTTTTCTGAAACTGTGAAAGAATACAGATGAACAGTGTCCTAGGATGATTGTTTTGATGGCAGTGCTCAGAATAGATTGAAAGGGAGAGAGACCAGGGGCAGGTTTACTGGTTTAGAGGGACTGGTACAGTGCCATCTACAAGGTGACAGGGGCTTCGGTGCAGCAGGACTGGAAATGCAGGGATAAACAGAAAAGTCAATTCAAGGAAGGATGTACAGGCCATGCTCAAAGGTTGCACTAATTCAGACGGCATTTTGCATCCTGGTGACTAGGATGCTGGGTTGTAGACAGGGCTGTGAGTCAGGGATAATGTCATCTCTGGCACCTGATACATGCTATGCACTCATTACTTGTTGAGTAGATAGATAAGTGGTGGTACTGTTGATAGAAATGAAGGAATCATAAGAAACACTGGATTTGGAAAGAAGGTGATCAGTTCAAGTTTGAACATGTAGGATATTCCAAGTGGGCATGTTCAATAGGTGACATGTGAGAGGAGATAACTGGAGTTGCAGATCGCTTCAGCTCATCAAGTATTTAGAAGCTGGGCACACAGGATGAACAAAGATATGCAAGATACTTTAGAAGCTACAGAAAGTTATATTAAAAATATGCAAATTACTGTAATATCAGGTAGAAAATGTTAAGAAAAAAAGTAATTAGGAACCCACTGTCTGACATTCAGAAGGGCCCATTTATTAAGACATTCTCTGGTGAAGGAAGAGTGAACAGTTTTGCTTATGACTTCTTTCTTTAGCCTCTAGCTCTGGCTCAGCCTACCCTGCCTAACTAGGAGCTTGTGAAGAAACTCTGAACGCTCACATGTATGGGAGATAAACCAGGGCAGGCGTTATAGGAACTTTCTTAAAAGAGCAACCAAATAGATTTTCTTTACAGCCACAGGATCTTCAGGGAGGGGGAGGGAGAAGAGTGGAGGTCATGTCATAATATTTAATTGTACATATTAAAGAAGACATTTCAAACATATCAAGCATGAGAAACAGAAGACTACTATATTCTGAGAATATCCTGTACCCTTTAGAAACAAATGTGCAAACATCCCAAATCCAGGCTTGGGTATATATTTTAGACTATGAAAATACAAATTTTACATCTCATTTATTCCTCAAAGGATTGAAAGGGAATGGATGTCTGTGGCCTTGGCCTTGGATGAGAGAAAGATAACTATGTTTTGTAGTTTGCAAGACTCATTATCTCTTCAGAGCTTTGGGGGCTTCATTGGTAGGTAAACTAGAAGGCCCTGAACACACTGGTTATTAAATGTTAACGTGGCATACTGGGATTGGAACCTGGTTCCAGAGTAACATGCAAATACAGTCCTCAGATCACCTGAGCTTGGGGACTTTAGCCTAATATGACTGAGGATCCTTAAAGTACTGACTGACTATGTTAGTTTGAAAACATTAAGTACTTTTCTAATACAGTTTCTCCCATGAATAGAAGTATTAAATATGTCAGGCACACATTTAACTGCTTTATAACAGTCTTAAACACTTGTTGAGCATTTGCTATGTGCCAGACACAAATTAAGAGTTTGCTTAATCTTTCTTATCATTTCTGTAATGGAGGCATTTTTTTCTCCCCATTTTAAAAATTAGGAAACTGAAGCATAGAGAGGTTACTTAGCTAGTATGTAGTGGTTCTAAGGCTGGAGCCCTGGCAGAGCCCATGTTGAACTGTTAAGTCTTAACTGTTAGGCCAGATGGCCTGGCACATTTGTGAGATTGCCTTGGATTAGAACTGGGAAGCTTATCCAAGACTGCTATTTATCCAAGTAACCTCATAGGCCATTTGAAATGTAGGAAATGCTGTGGAACCAAAGAGCCAAATAATTTAGTATAAATTAGTTCACAGTTTGAGGACCTTTGGATGTTTGTCTCCTTTCCACTGACCAGAGCAAACCTTTCAACTTGTTTAAGCCAAATGCTCCTGGTAATTGACAAGGCTGCTAAGGCCAATTCTAGGAAAACATAACACTTGAGTATTGAGCATGATGCAATCTGAAATACTAGGGCCTTTGCTGTAGTTCTTACACAAAGCACCGACTGACATCACAGAACCACTGTGGGGCTCCTTCTAGTACCCAAAGGTGCAGAACCACCCTAGGCCGGGAAGGGTGCCTCCTCTGAGGATAAAAGCCATGCAGACTTACCAGCTGGGGTGGGTTGTTTTCTTCTGCCCTCTAGCTGGCTTGCAGGCTAGGATTCCTGCTGTGTGTGTGCAAGCAAATGCAGTCCTTGGCACCCTCCCAGGAAACCCAAGAGTTTTGGCTTTACATCAAGTTGACAAGAAGGCATTTTTTCCCCCCCTCAAACCATTGCCCAGGGAGATGAATCCTCATCAGCCCCACATCCAGAGTGAAATCTGGAAAACCCAGTTCAGAGCTTTTGAAGAAGCTGCTACAGGGCATTTTAGCAGCAGATCCTAAAGTATTAAAGGGCTGCTTACTGATAGGGAAGTGGAGCTTAGGAGGCCCTTTAAAATGTGTGTTTTTTTGTAACCTAAGAATGGATGTTCACTGTAGAAAAATAAGAAAATGGATAAAACAAAGCTCCTTCGTGGGGTCCTATTTTGCACATACACTAAATCTTGTTTAATGTAGAAGGGGAAGCAAATTGAAGAAACCATATGGACAAAAGTTGCTACAAACTTGAGTTTTCCACTAGAATGTTTAAGGAAGGTAACTTGTTCATACCACTCTCCATTCTAAAACTGCTAATACAGATAGCATTGAAGAAAACTCAAATGGTGTGCGGCCTTGCAGGAATAACAAAGTTGTCCGATCTTCCTAAGATAGGCTTGTTTCTTGGTTTATGGCTAGTGTACCTCGCCACACTGCTGATCATGGCTGGAGTGAGGAGATACCTATACCAAAAACTGTTATGTGCTTTCTTTCCCAGACACCAAATGGACTGCTTCTGACCCCGAGTCCACTGCTCTCCAGCATACATTTCTGGAGCAGCCTTAGTCCAGTTGCTCCACTGAGTCCTGCCCGGCTACAAGGGCCAAATACGCTGTTCCAGGTGAGCATTTGGAAATGAACTTTTAAACATCAAACTTCTCATGGATGTGCTTCCCCAGTAAATCCTGCAAAGGTAACAGTTCTGCCCCATGTCTGGTTACAGTGATAGGTTTCCAAAGAGACTTTATATTAATGAGGCTGGAAGAGGCAAAATTTTTAAAATTATATCTTGTAAAATCTCATATGCCTTTAATATATTAATCTATTAATCAACAGAGATATCACTTGAAATAAGTTGAAAAACAAAAATAGGGAACAAATTTTCCATATTGTAATAGAATAGTTATCTGCATAATTCAATGAACCATCATCAAGTTCTCCCTGTTACATAATAAGAAAGGAACATCTAGGGCATTTGATTAAAAACTAATTAAGTCTTAGATGCTTTACTTTGCAAAAATCTCTGTACTAGGTAAGCACATTTATTATTCATTCACACACCAGAATCTTGCAGTAGCATCATTTGCTATTATGTGACAATCAGTATTTCCTCTTTAAGACCCAAGATTGTTACTCACAGACCAAGAAGTTACTGTTTGAATATGTGCGTGTAAAGTAGAAAGGATCCTAGGGACAGGAATGAAGTGAAGCTGGGTAAAGTGCAGGCTTCTTTACAGGTCTAACTCTAGCCTTGTCTATCTCAGCCACCCTGTATCCCATGCCTGCTCTCCAGTGTAGCTCACCCCAAACTAACTGTAGTTCCTTTGCTCCCATTGCATTTAGCACGTACCACTTTGTATTATGACTGCGTGTTCATCTGGCAGTCTCCCTGACTAGACTGGCCCCCCCAAAAGGACAGAACTGCATCTGTTCACTGTGGTGTGTCCCCAGTGTCTAGCACAGTTTGGTATACAAATCACGCTCAGTAATTATCACTGACCAAATCTATGGATGCCTAAGAATTTGTCAAGAGATGTCTAAGAAAGTTAAAAAGATTAGGTCTCCGTGATTTTTTGATTTGGTCATTTTCCTTATTGAAATTAATATTTACTTCCTTTGTGCCAGGAGCAGTACATCCTGGGATTTAGAGTCTAGCTGGAAGAAGGGTGAAGCTGAAGAGGTTTTGATTGCTATCTTGATTCTCTAGTTTCTTTGTAGGGTTGAGGAAGGGTGTCATGACGTAACTATATCCCTGGGGTTATCAGGTTTCTCTTCCTGGCCTTTCTTCCCATCACAAGAAATTGAGTTATGCACATCCAATTTGTTGATTCTTAGCTATTTCAATTCAGGGAAACCAAAAACCAGAAGTAGTGAGCAAAAAGCAGTAAGCAAATGTAGTACTAGCAAAGTTGTAAATTAGATTTATCTTTTGATCGGGAGCTAAAAGATGTTATTTCTGGAAGGTCTCCAGACTGCAGCAGCATTATTCTAGTATTATAGCTCCTGAGTAGAGCAGAAAGGAGGGACTTGGTACATATGTACAATAAGCTCAGTGGGGGTAGGGACTGCAATATTATTAGTCTAAATCTAGAACCTAACACAAGGCCTCTGTAGGACTAATGGAATGGTTTTCCTTACGGGGAATTCTTTGGGGTCCTTTGCCTTAGATAGTGAACCTTTTCCAGTCCATTACTCCCAACAGTAATAATGGTTTGAGACCAGTGGCTCTCAAAAGTTAGCGTGCAACAGAATCAGCTGGTGGGTGTATTGAAATACAGATTACTGGGCCCCATCCACAGAGTTTCTGATTTAGAAGGTCTAGGATAGAGCCTGATGTAATTTCTTTCAATTTCTAGTGATGTGGCTGCTCTGGAAACCACTTTGAGAACCACTACAGACCAGTTATTCCTAATTTACATTTAGAATTCTTTTAGTTTCACAAAATGCACCTGTACTCTCTATTGGAGCCATTCAGAAAAAATCCCTGAAAAAAATATGTAACTGTTAAAATGTCTGACCTGGCCTTGGGCCTTCTTTTTGTGACTGGGGTCCATGAGACTAAGGATAAATAATTTTGTACCTTTTAAAATACTACTATTATGAGAAAAACAGTTGAGTATGGTAAAAGCTGAAATTAGAAGTTTTGAAAATGGTAAATAACAAAACATGGTAAGAGGAATAGTACTTTCTGATGTTAAAACGAGACATTTCAAATTAAAGCTTTTCAAAATTCAGATTACCATCAACAATGCCCCTTCAGTGAAAATAATTTAGCTTAAAAATAAACTTCTTTCCATGCTCTAAATGTGTTGGAGGGGAAAAAACATATTGGGCCTACAATAAATTTTGGATAATGCTAGTAAATTTCCTATTGTGATAATTAGTAAAGTAGATCAGAATCTTTAGGGTAACAGTTCACAGAGCTGAGGAGTTTCTGTACAGAAAGTCTCCTGATACATTGTTATAGCAGACACTGAAAAATTTAAGGGAAGAGGTATGCATGTTTGAATATGTGAGTGTAGAATAGAAAGGATCCTAGGGACAGGAATGAAGTAAAGGTGGGTAAAGTGCAGGCTCCTTTACAGGTCTAACTCTAGCCTTGTCTATCTCAGCCACCCTGTATCCCATGCCTGCTCTCCAGTGGGATACACTGTACTAAACATCTGTACTAAATCTAAAAACACAACTTTGATTTACACATTGAGATTGTTTTTAACCAGACAGTTTGGCATTCTGACCTTGTCTATAGTATGACTTCTGCTTTTGAAAGATATTTTAATCAAATCTGGAATACACCTAGTAGTAGTAGGTACAGATAATATCTTGACATAAAGTGGAACTAATTAAGTTTTCGATTGATGTAATTTTTAATTCAACAAATCTAACTGGGGAGATAATCTGCAATGCTCTGAGTCAGAGACTGTAGGGTATATATACAGTATGTGAGTAGCAGAGGTGTAAATAAAGTGCTACAAGAACCCACAGGAGGAGCTCTTCCTAGCTGGGGTCTGGACAAAGGCTCCAAGGAAGCGGCATCTGAGTGAGGAGGAAGGGACAGGGTTTCCACAGATGGAGAGAAGCACATTCTAGATTACAGAGCTGCACGAATTGTGTACAAGAAGTTCATAGTCTGTTCAGGAAGGGCCTGGGTGATAGGAGGTCACTAGTTGGCAAAGTAGCCGCAGGCCTTGGACAGTATGCTCAGGATCTTCCATCTTAATCTGCTGTTAAGTGATCGTAATGATGGAAAGTTTTTTAGGCTGGAGACAGTGATACCTTTCTAAAATAGAGAACCTACCATACTGATACCAGTGTGGAGGAAGAACTGAACAGAAAGCCTAAGGGGCAGAAAGATATGAGGAAATTTACTCTCCTACAAATACTGAGGGGAGAATCATCTTTTGGATTAAGCAATGGAAATAGGAATATATTTAGAAGACATTCCAGGAAGACTTTCAGTTGGGTTTGAGAAATAGATAGTGATAATAGGACAGGCAAAGATTATTACTAAGCGAGTTAAAGACTGGAAATGCTATTAGTAACGACATTTATTGAGGACTACTATACCAGACATTGTTCTGAACACTTTTCATGGTTTCTCATTTAATACACCTAAGAGTTCTATTTGAAAAGATGAGTGACATCACTGGGCCTTATTTTTCTTAATTTGCCCATGACTACACATTAATAAGTGGCAGAGCCCTGATTCAAGTTTAGGGTCATGCTCCTGTCTTCCACTCTCACTGACATAACAGTGCACACAGAAGAGCAGTTTGTGGGGAAGAGGCATTTGTGGGGATGTCTGACAGCAGGAAATGACTGAGTACACTATAGGAGAAAGGAAGGCTGACGATAAAAGTTTGGGAATATTGCAATTTAAGAAAAGGGACTTGGGGGTAGGGAGAGCCAATAACCAAAAGCACCCATGACAACTGAGTATATAAAGAGCAAGGGCAGAAATCAGTAGTATGTTTTTAGAAACAGATTAACAAAACCAAAAGCTGGAAAACACCAGTAAGATGGACAAAAATCAAAATGAGAGAAGATGGAAATAAACTAAAAGCTGAAAACTCAAAACCTGCTCTTCTTCTAGTGTTCACCCTAAGTTCACTTTAAGTCAATGGGAACAGTGGTTAGGAAGCATGGATCTTAAAAGAGTATAAGCTATATGCAAACAGATTTGACAGCCAGTTGAAATAGGAAAAATTCTATAAAAAATTAAAATTGCAAAGTGTCCAAAAAGAAACAAATCCGTGACTAAGCCAATAATCATTAAACAAATGGAAACAGTAAAGAGCACCCCCACCCCTCCCACATAAGTTGGGCAGTTTGTTATGAAGCCCAGCAAGCATATCTTTCAGTCAGGCAGAATTTAAAACCTGGCATTACTGCTTTTCAGCTATTAGCCAATCAGAACTTATTTCTCATCTATAAAACAGGGGTAACCAAATTTACAGGCTCTAGATAGCAAATGAAATGACAGCCATTGATAAACTGTAATACAAACATACCAGCAGCTGAAATAGTTTGAGAATTGCAAAAATGTATTTACTTGCTCTGTAATTACATAGTGTACTTTTGACATGTGCAGGGCTGTATAGTTTGACATTTAGTATTGAAGTGAAGTTTAATATAAATAATTAAGCTAGAAGACAGACCAAGATATCATTCTGACACATACCATCCTAGACAATGAAAATCTAGTTTTGAACAGTCATGTTTCAAAGGACCTTAATTATTATTGTTCAGTTGGGAGTATAGCTGCTTTATTTCTTTCAGACCTGAAAGTTGTTATTAAAGCTATACTTTCATTTATTATCTCAGTTACCAACAGTACAGAAACTTTTACTCTTTAAGATTTGTCACTTGTAGGTAATCTGTTATTTTTCATTTTAATTAGAGTATTTTCTCAGCCCAATAAAGGTTAAGATAGAGACATTCCTCATTTTTAACATTACTGAGAAACATGTTTGTTTTAAAATGCAGTATTATAAATTATACTGATTCATATGTAAAGAGTCAACTGTGGTTTTCAAATTTTTTTCTTAGTATTTAAAGCAAGTCAGCAGTCTAAGTAGCTTGGAAACTTTTTAAAACAGTATTACAACGTGTTTCAACAACATATATTTTTTTTCTAGTAACCTAGGCATATAAAATTATAAGGGACATTTTCTGGATCTTGTTTGCTGTATGTAATCTTGATATCATTGTCATCTAACAATTATCCATTCTGTAAAATAATTGGCAAGTGACCTCTATCATAGAGGTGACAAGAGAACTTATCCACTATGGTCTGTCTAGGAATGTAAAGAACTCAAATTCTTCCCAATGGATTTGCAATAATTAATTTGAAAATCTTTTGTCCCCTACAGTTTCCAACACTGCTTAATGGCCACATGCCAGTGCCAATCCCCAGTCTGGACAGAGCTGCTTCTCCAGTACTGCTTTCTTCAAACTCTCAGAAATCCTGATGACATCTGACCACAATTAAAGACTTATTAGCTGATGAAACAAGTTTGTCCCCATGGGCTAGTTTACCTGTGTCATGAGAAGGACGTTGTGAAACCCTGTTAATTTGGTTTGCACTTTTCATAACATGGATGGTCTAGATTTATGTTAGCATTTTAAAACTTTTTTTTATATTCAACTTATATATGAAAATCTGTTTTGCATTAAGTGAATTTTAATGTTTTTGTTTTTTTATATCTTAAGTGTTGAACACTGTTGACAGTGAAGAACTTTTCTTAATGGTTTTCAGTGTAACTAATAAGGATGTGAAGCTTTTCTTCTCTTTAATTCTGCATATGCTGAATTGTGCTTATATACACTATAACCAGCTGTGCCTTCCTTTGCATTTAGTTTTATGTAAATGTTTATATATTTTTTAGAATTAAGAGAATATGTTTGAAAGACAAACGTATCAAACAGCTCTCTAGTAGAATTTCATTATTTTTCACAAATAGGCAATATGAAAGCATATTCATATTTTTCATTTTTGCTTTCACTTGTATAAGAATTGCCTTAGAACCTCTTTTGAACTAAAATTCAATAAATGTAATGTCCAAGTAATGTTTTTATAAAAAGAAACTAAGCCATATTTAGACAATAAACATTCATAAAAAAAAATGTTCTAAAGTGCATTTTTTTAAAAATGAAAAGCTAGGCTTCTAACAGTTTACAACCTTTTAGACACCTCTCAGACAAAAATCTGAGATAGAAACCTACATCAAGTTCATTCTACTTATGCCCTGAAATATTTCATAGGTTAGCATATTCTTATTTCAAAAAGTTAGCCCTGGTTCTCCCAGTTTTCCATGCAGAATCACACGCCTCATACTTTTCCTGTATATAAGTTAGGGTTTCTCTACATCCCTGGAACTGTAGTTAACATTTAAAAATCCTACACTTTGGAAGGGGCTCATAGACGTGATGAAAACAACAAAGAACCAATTTTGTAACACCAGGTATCTTTATGCGTAGGTATATAGCCTTGCTTGTGGAAACTGAGGTAGAATATACTCCATATGTATTACCAAGTTTACAGTGAGAATGAATTAAATCTGATAGATGAAATATAAAATTCTTCAGGTACCTCATTATGGAACTGAACTGATTATATAACAATTTGGAACACTCACCAGTAAATTCTTTTATATAGTATAGTTTAAAGCAGTGGTAATACAAACTTTTTCTGTTCCTTCAAAAATATCAACAGGCACCATGCTGAGGAATTGTTCTGCATATGAAGTAGGAAAATACTAATGTAAGATAAGAGAACTGGAAAGTGTCCAGTGGTTTCAATTCAAGATCAAGTTAATTATCATCCTTAACTATAAGTAACAGAGACCAATTTGAGATGCAGCTAAATAACTGATCCAAACTAGGTGTTAAATGGCAGGGATTATGAAAAAGGGTACAAAATAAAGCTTGTAAAAGCAGAGTTTCTGAACTTCAAATAATCTAAAATTTTGTTATGATACTTATAAATTTTGAGATTTTCAGTTGGAACTGAGCATCTCCTATGTAAGGAGAAAAAAATCCAAACAACCTTAATATGCATCTTTGAATATAAAGTTGGGCTGATTACAAAATCCACTAACAGACACTACCATCACTCCCTCACAGGCTGAAAATAAGTCTACTTTTATTTTATTTACTAAAATAAAAGGGCTGGTCTAGGGAACTAATATTTACCAAACATAAAATGTTAGAGCAAGAAGGGGTCTTTTGAGAGGATCCCGTCACTGATTCCCAGATAAGGACAACTGCAAAGCAGGAGCTGGGAGTTGTCTAAGGCCACAGCTCATCAGAACAATAACTGGTGCTCATTCCAGTTCTATTTTCCCCTGCTTAGCTGTAAGTGATACTGGTCCAAAACTATATGTTAGGTAGAAAAAACAGAGCATTAAAAAAAATTTGTCAGATAAGAGAAGAATGTACCCCAAATGCAACATTCTTATAGAGAAACTTAAGAAAGTTAATTAATGTACAAAAATTTCAATCAGAAATACTGACTGGAAATACTCAAACTACTATAAAGCTGATTCTTTTATTCCCTTCCTTGAAATACTATTGTTAACATGCTTTAGCTCCATTTATTAGAAATCGAAAAATACTTTAATTTTTAATGGATCAAAAAACTCACTATAACACAGATGGAGGTATTGAAGTATAATCCGTATAGCTCTGCCTCGTGTGTGTGTGTGTGTGTGTGTGTGTGTGTGTGTGTGTGTGTATGTTAACAAGTATTTTAGCCAGAAAATTAATTTTCAAAGAATATATTAAATAACTTTTTCCCCCTTCTCATGTCTGCTTGAACAGTGTTAAACTGCTATGGCTAAAGTTTTATAGAACTATAACCTAAATGTTGGTCTCTGTATGCATCTTTTCTATGACTGCGTATTGTCATTCATATATGTATCATTTTTACTGTTACATTATTTTTGTTCAATAAATACTTTGTTATAAAAGGTTTGAGGAGGAAAGTGGGTTGATTTACTTCCATTTATTTGGGATGATCCAAATTTCACTTTTCCATATTGGTACAAGTTATAAAATGAGTCATGTCATCTAGCCTTAAGTAGGGCATATCAAAACACGGTATGTTTATATAATTTACTTTAAACAGATATTTATGGAGACAAATATATTTACTGATGTTGAATCAGAGGAAAGGAATGAATTTGAAAAGTGGTCCCCTGACCTTTTAAATCAAGTTTTATCATTCTTCTGTATTGAGATGGGAGGAAATAAGAAGGAAAGGAAAATACAAATTACCATTTATTCTTTCAGTGGCTAATACCATATACTCAATGGTGACAGACTGATAGTTTCCCCCCTAATATGAGGAACAAGATAAGCATAATCCCCTCTGTTGGCATTTCCATTCAACACAGTACTTAAAGTCCTAGCCAGAGCAATTAGGCAAGAAAAAAAAAAAGGCAAACAAATTAGAAAGGAAGAAGTACAACAATCTCTAGTCAGAGGTGGTATAGTCTTATATGTAGAAACCCCTAAAGCATTCACAAAAAACTGCCAGTACTAATAAACAAATTCAGCAAAATTACAGGATACAAAATCAATATGCAAGGATCACTTGTATTGATACATACTAGCAATGAAAGATTTGAGAAATTAACAATTCTATCTCCAATAACATCAAAAAGAATAAAACAGGAATAAATTTAATTGAGAAGGCACAAGACTTGTATACTTAAAATTACAAACTATGAAGAAGGAGCCAAGATGGTGGCGTGAGTAGAGCAGTGGAAATCTTCCAAAACCATATGTATTTTTGAAAATAAAACAAATACAACTATTCCCAAAAGAGAGACCAGAAGATACAGGACAACAGCCAGACTACATCTACACCTGCGAGAACCCAGCACCTCATGAAGGGGGTAAGATACAAGCTGCAGCCCAGCAGGACCCGAACGCCACCCCTCACCCCAGCTCCCTGGTGGGAAGAGAGGAGTCGGAGCAGGGAGGGAGCAGGAGCCCAGGACTGCTAAATACCCAGCCCTAGCCATCTGCACCAGGAGCACAGACACACAGTGCGTGGTGTGCTGGATACAAGGGAAACAGGACAGTAAAATCTGTGAGCAGGTCCCCACAGCTGGCGCCCCTGGGACAAAGAAAAGCAAGTGCTTTTTGAAAGTCCTAAAGGGACAGGAGCCTCACAGCTGGATGGAAGTGTCCCTGTGCACTCAGTCCAGCAGCTGGAAATCCCGGGGAACTCCAGACACCCTAACCCCCTGGGCAGCAGCACAGCTTGAAGGCCCCTCACAGGGTGATAAACAGCCTCCTGCCCATTCCCCCTCCGGCACGGCTCTGCCATAGCAGAGCAGCAGCCTGAAAGCGGCCATGCCCACAGCAGCCGCCCAGGCCAGGCTTCGAGGCCCCGTCTCCGTGCAGCTACCCAGCACAAGCCGCTAGGGGTCGCCGTTCTCACAGGAGAGGAAGGCCACAAACCAGCAAGAATGGATGTTCTCCTAGCTGACACATGCACCAACTCCACACAACTACCTCTATCGCCATGAAAAGGCAGAAGAATTTGATCCAGACCAGACTAACAGACACAACCCCTGAGAAGGAGCTTGGAGAGATAGACCTAACGATTCTTCCTGAAAAAGAATTCAAAATAAAGATCATAACCAGGCTGATGGAGCAGCAGAGAAAAATGCAAGAGCTAACAGACAAAGTAGGGAGGGAGACTACAGAAATAAAACAATCTCTGGAAGGATTTAAAAGCAGAATGGATGAGATGCAAGAGGCCATTAATGGAACCGAAACCAGAGAACAGGAACGCAGAGAAGCTGATGCAGAGAGATAAAAGGATCTCCAGAAATGAGACAATATTAAGAGAACTGTGTGACCAATCCAAAAGGAACAATATCTGCATTATAGGGGTACCAGAAGAAGAAGAGAGAGAAAAAGGGATAGAAAGTGTATTTGAAGAAATAATTGCTGAAAACTTCCCCAAACTGGGGGAGGAAATAATCGCTCAAACCACAGAAGTACACAGAACTCCCAACAGAAGGGACCCAAGGAGGACAACACCAAGACACATAATAATTAAAATGGCAAAGATTAAGGACAAGGACAGAGTTTTAAAGGCAGCTAGAGAGAGGAAAAAAGTCACCTACAAAGGAAAACCCATCAGGCTATCATTAAGACTTCTCAACAGAAACCTTACAGGCCAGAAGAGAATGGCATGATATATTTAACGCAATGGAACAGAAGGGCCTTGAACCAAGAATACTGTATCCAGCACAATTATCATTTAAATATGAAGGAGAGATTAAACAATTCCCAGACAAGCAAAAGTTGAGGGAATTTGCCTCCCACAAACCACCTCTACAGGGTATTTGAGGAACTGCTCTAGATGGGAGCACTCCTAAGGCTAAACAGATGTCACCAGAGAAAATAAAATCACATCAAAGAAAGCAGACCAACGAAATATTAACTAAAGGCAAAAAATAAAATCAACTACTCACAAAAGCAGTCAAAGGAAACACAAAATAGTACAGAATAAAACACCCAACATATAAAGAATGGAGGAGGAATAAGAAGGGAGAGAAATAATCACCAGACAGTGTCTATAATAGCTCAATAAGCAAGGTAAGTTAGGCAGTAAGATACTAAAAAAGCTAACCTTGAACCTTTGGTAACCATGAATCTAAAGCCTGCAATGGCAATAAGTACATATCTTTCAATAATCACCCTAAATGGACTGAATGCACCAATCAAAAGAACCAGTACTCTTGGTTCAAGAGTAATAGAATGGATAAAAAAGCAAGACCCACCTATATGCTGCTTACAAGAGACCCACCTCAAACCCAAAGACATGCACAGACTAAAAGTCAAGGGGTGGAGAAAGATATTTCATGCAAACAACAGAGTGAAAAAAGCAGGTATTGCAGTACTAGTATCAGACAAAATAGGCTTCAAAACAAAGAAAGTAACAAGAGATAAACAAGGACATTACATAATGATAAAGGGCTCAGTCCAACAAGAGGATATAACCATTATAAATATATATGTACCCAATGCAGGAACACCAGCATATGTGAAACAAATACTAACGGAATTAAAGGAGGAAATAGAATGCAATGCATTCCTTTTAG